GCAGCAATTAAATTACACACACACACATATGGACATAGCTATTATGTATGTATATATGTGTTTGGATGTAAAGAGAAAAAATTACATGAAAAATAAAAAAAATTATTGAAAGCGCAAAAAAATTATAAATAAATAATGTTGCATAAATGAAAAGCAAAATAAAGAACAAAAAAAAAAATTATTCCAGTTCAGCGTGCATTTTAATTGCACAAAAACAAAAAGAAGTTCAAACAAAAAAGTCGAAACGAAAAGCACTTGTCGCAAGCATTGGAATGATTTACCTCTTCAAAGGTTCTCTGCGCTCAACATGGGCAATGTCATTGTCAAATATTTTGATTGCGCAATTGACTGATGATGAGCAAATGTGGAAAAAATGAGCAATTTTACGGCCCAAAACTATATACATATGTATGTACAAACATAAGTAAGTATTTTAATTTAAGCATATTTATGTGTTAATAACTACTGTTATTGCATTACTATTGTGTTACGGCTATTACTATGAATAATAGATGTGTAATTGTTGTTGTTGGCGTTGTTGGCGTCAGAGACAGCATCAACTATTGTTGTGCATTGCTTTTGCATGATTTAACAATTAACACTTGCACACACACACACACACATACGTAATTTCGCTCATAAAAATGCTTGCAAATGCATATTTTATGTTTTAATTTTTTTTAATTTATTTTTTTTTTCACTGCTGATAATTTTAATTAATTATACATTTAATCGCATTTATTTATTTGATTCATTGCATATTGCACGTAAAGATTACATTTTTGCCACAGTTCATTAAGTGATGTGTGCGCGCATTTCCTGCATGCAAATCAGTAAACAATTGATTTAATTATCGAAAATTTCGTAAATTAAATAAAAAAAATGTATTTTTTAATAAAATTTTGGATTTACTTTAAATAGTATAGATATTAATTATAAGATTTAAAAATTTATATTATTTTTATCTTACGAGGAAACGAAATATTACAAAAAAATTTATTTTAAGGTATTGAAAAAAAAAGAATTAATATTTTAATTAAGGGGCACACCTAGTAGGAAATTTCAAAAAAATCGATCTTTTTTTCATATTTCGGTAGATTACACCTTTGAAAATAATATATTAAAATTCAAATCGATATCTCGAATAGGTTTTGAGTTATAGCAATTTAAAAAGCAGCCGCTCGGCAGCTAGAGAGTCTCATTAGCTACGAGTGAAAACGATCATTTTATTTTTATGCGCGTTTTTCTCGAAACAGCATTTTCCAAATGATCCAATCACTTTCGAAGTTTTTTTACATATTCTATGTACAATGATAATTGATAAAGTATTTTTTTTTAATGAAAATTCCCAAAAATTACATTTTTTAAGCCACTAATTAAAATTAAAATAACAATTAAAATAACAACACATTAAATTTATTTAGTTTATTTTTTTGTCATTGGAGTTGGTTTCTACAAGCCAAGCGCACTACCAACAACAGCCAACAGCCTGCTGAATAGCAGTGAAAATGGAGTATTCTGAGATGCTGAACCCGAAAACCCAATCCATGACAATGGTAAAGACGTCATGCCCAACGATTGGAATTTAAGTATGCTCTGCCCAATCCATAAAAAGGGAACCCCACAGCCTGCGTCAATTACCGTGCGATAAGCCTCCTTAACATCCTGTCGAACGTATTGGGTGAAAGACTAAAGCCCACCGTCAACAAACTGATTGGATCTTATCAATGTGGCTATAAACCGGGTAAGTCAACCATTGACCAGATGTTCACCATGTGCCAAATCTTGGAAAAGACCCTTGAAAAGAGGATCAATACACACCACCTCTTCGTCGATTTTAAAGCAGCCTTCGACAGCACGAAAAGGAGCTGCCTTTACGCCAGAAGCGCAGTCGGAATTGGGAAGGACCTCTCCGAGCCGTTCGATACCAAACAAGATTTCAGACACGCTGACTTTTTTTCATGTGATTTCTTCAATTCGTTGCTCGAACGGATAACACATGCTGCAGGGCTGAAAACAGAAAGTACAATCTTCTATAAGAGTGCTCAGTTGCTGGCGTACGCCGATGATAACGACATTATAACAACAACAGCGCCGTTAGTTCCGCTTTCTGCACACTAGATAAGAAAACGAAGGGTCTGACAGCGAACGAGGGCGCCTCTGGACGATTGCTACCTTCAGACAGCCTACTTACTGAAACTATAGGTCCAAGCTAAGAGATTGAGCATAAAGAAGCAGCGAATAGGTGATTGATTCCTTGACAATCTCACGAACCAACGATCAAAATTTTTCTGATCGGCAATCTTGGCTTAGATACCCTTTTGCAAAAACAACGAAAAGTGAAAATGCTACTTAATGTTAACATAAAAACTAATTTCATAATGTTCACAAGCCAAGTATTTGAATTAAAAAAAATTACGTAATTATTCTTTAAAAGAGTTAGTAAAATTTATCTTCATTTAAAATTTAAATTTTTTTTCGACAAAATTAAAACAAAGAAGAACGTGATGTGATATGCTATGTAATGATCATTATTAACAAAAAATTTGAACCAAAACATTTGTTAAATATTGCATAACTTTAGGCGCACTGCGATGTGACGTAAGCACTAATAATAATACAGGGTGTTCAAGCAGTTTAAATTACTAAGCACCACGCATTAAGAGTACGCTTACCTCAAAATCGAGAAGGAGGTCGGCCGAACATCACTTCAGCGATTAAGAAACGTCAATTATATATACTCGTATGTACATATATATTGGTCAAGTAAAAAGTTCGTTCGGTTTTTGTCTAAAAGGTCGCGTTATTGTCCAAAGTACATATTAGTATTATGTGTCGCATCATGTCAAACTATACGTCGTTGAAAACGTGTTTATTCGCGCTAAAAGTTTGTCTTTGACGGTTTTTCGATTGATTGATTCACTACGTTGTTAGCGCTCGTCAAAGACGGACACCAGCAAAGATAAAATTCGCTATTTTTCAGAATTTTTCAATGTCAAAGATGCACCATGTTTTGCTATGTATTCGCTGGGATTGGCAAGGAATCATCTACTACAAGCTGCTCCCCCATAGCCAAATGCTCAATTCGGCCCTCTGTTGCCAACAACTGAACCGCTTGAAGGCAGCGCTCATCCAGAAGAAACCATCTTTGATCAACAAAGGCCGCTCCAGCAGGACAGCGACATGCCACACACGTCTTTGGTGGCGCGCCAGAAGCTCATGCGCCCACCTTATAATCCGGATCTGGCACCAAGTGATCACCATATTTTCCTGTTCATGGCAAACGCGCTTAATGATGAGAATATGGTCTTAAGAGAGGCCTGTGAAAAGTGGCTCTCCGAGTTTTTTGCCAATAGGAACGCAACCTTCCACGAGAAGGGTATAATGATGGCATCTCGTTGGCAACAAATTAACAAACAAAACGGTGCATTTTGACTTAATTCGGACAAATGTACACAACGTTATCATATTTTGAAAAATCAATATAAAAAACTGAACGAACCTTTTACTTGATATGATATTGGATTTCAACAGCTTTTGGAAACTATTATTATTATTTTTATTTTAAAACTTTTCAAACGTTTTCTTCGTAAAGTCAATATGAAAACAATATCGTGCATGAAAATATTTCTGCTTATGTTATATAATAAATGAATAAATTCATGCTTTTATTATGTAAATAGATACGCAGGCGCACATATATAGTACATTTTTTTTCTTAATAAATACTCAATTTGCAGCCGAGTAAAATACGAGTAATTTAACTTCATTTGATACTGTTTTCCGAGATTCAGAGAAATTTTCCAAAAGGCATTAAGTCAACTGCTATGAGCTCAGCCATTTTATTTAATACTCTTGCGAGCGAAAATATGCAACGAATAATTTTGTCCTTGAAACTTTGTGCCAAAGGGGATTAGTGTAAATACATTCGAACATAAATAAATAAGGAACTTTTATTAAAACATTTTAAATTTTAGTTACATTTGGGAAAAATTTCTATATTATTCAAAATTTATATATATGTATGCATTCTGTGATTTGAATTATGTAATTATAATCTTAATTGAGGAAATAGAAAATAGTCGCATTTCTTTCAAAGCAAATAAATTTTTCTGTAACTAAAGAAAAAGAGTTGATATCGTTTTAAAATGTAGACGAAAAGGAATATTTCTAAATAAAATATTTTTTTTATCATTAATACTGTTATTTTTTCTATGCGTATTCATAAAAGAACTAGTTAATTAAATCTATTAAAGTCAGTTATCAGTGCCCGAAGCTTCTATTTATTACACTGTCACGCCTTCATCCAATTAGATATCTTCGCTGGTCCAATGGGAATTTGGGACTTCGAGAACTAAACAAACTGAATGTGCGCTGCTATTTGCTTTGCTATTGCTACTTGTTTAAAAACGATAACGCCGAGACTGTCACTGTCAATTCGGAGCGTTATGGTCGTTTGATAACTTGCTTTATTTGGTCTGCAAGACTTTGACACTATTAGATTTTATAAAAATGGAGCCACATACAAGATACCTCTTTAATGAGAGAGGAATTTATCTGCCGATGTCAAACGGCCGTCGAATATTGTTTGCTGGGTTATATAAAGTCGGTGGTCTACGCAAATATGAGCGCGACGACTTATGCCTACAAAGATAATATTGGGCGCGTGTTGCTAATGGCAAACCCTTTGGTCTTCAGTTAATATATTAAAATGACCGTTTATTTGTTAATGACGCAAAAGCTTGAGAACCACTTGACCAATCTTGATGAAATTTTCAGAGGTTGTTCGCTGGGTAAGTGGGGAAAAATCGAAAATTTGGAAAGTTCTAAAAAAATACATTTTTCCATAAAATTTTATTTTTAAATTTAAATTTTTTTCAAATCAATCTTTCTGTTAAAAATTTGTTTGATCCTTCTGATTTGTTTATTTGACTTCATTTCTATTGAAATCTATTTGTGCTAATTTCTCAACTGATTTGTAAATTATTTGAATCTTCCAATTTCATAAGTTTGCTCTCTTTATTTCGGCTATTCAAAAGGTAAATTATTGAAAATAATTCAGTAAAAACTTTAGAATGCAGACTGAGATTTTGGACGATGCATTGGAGAAGTCGCAGCAATACCGGTCGGCAATTAACGATCGAGCCCGATGCAGCTATCGAATAATGCGATAATTTCAAGAATTTTGAAAGGGACTTTAATGGAGACAGAAAGCTTGATTCTAGGAATTCCTTTGAGTTCCAACGACTTGCCATTCCAGCTCAAAGGTATTCAGTCTCCTTGCATTTGCGATGACAATCATCAGTTCATTTACGGACCTGAAAAAAAAACGAAACAAATTGTTGATCAAGCTGCGTTACATTGAAAAAATATGAAGACAAATCGTAACTAAATGTTTTTCAACACAATATAAATTCAAACTTTTTTCTTTCCAAAAAAAAATTTAATAATTTCAAGCAGGATGACCCCTGCTAGTTTATATTACAGTTAAATTCTTGTCACAACATTCATAAGGGATACTCCTTTTGGTACATTTTTCCTTATAGGAAGCATCGAGCAAGTCTCTCTGAATTGCTTGACAGTGGTCTGACTTTATTGAGTCGCTCCAACTAAACCTCCCCAGGTAATATCTAACCATCTCTTCAATACGTGTATCTTGGAGAAATCTAACAAGTTGAACCCATATCCTAACTTCTGGAAGTTGGTGTGAAGAAAAATTTAGTTTTGAACTTATTAGGAACCCTACAAATTATGATACTTAGTTTGTGTATCTGTTGTTCTCTAAAAATTTGTGATGAATAGCGGAAACGACTTATACACGGTCAAACGAAACCAATCTCTGTGAATTAGATCTTAATGAGAATAAGCAAGCTTTGATTTTTTTGTTCTCTCGTAGACCAACAGTCTTAGTTAATTGATTCATTCGGTCTCTGCTGTTCCATATTCACCAAAAGTAAGGATACTTGGTAAGCAACATATCATAGTTGAGTCACCTTGGTGAAGAGTTAATTGGAAGATTAATGTGTACAGAATGAGCGAACCGAATGGACGAAATGGAACAGACTGTCTCTCACATGGGTCCCTGGCCACAGGTATATCGGGGGAAACTTTAATGCGCAAGAATTTGCTAGGCGAGGTAGGACAAGCAGATTCTTATCGATAAAGAACGCAATGGTATGCCTTTTGTTACACGATAACTACTTCTCAAGGAATTCAAACAATCTGCCACTAAACCAGCAAATATAGCCCAAATGGAATAAGAAGAGATCACGAGAATAAAGGTCCCAAGTTATAGGAGAACAGACAGGTCTTTGTTTGATAGCACGCCACGCTATAGAAGATGCAGCAGAGGCTGCAAGGAGGATGAAGAAGAGGCGTCGATCACCCATCACATATGCGACTCTCCTGTTTTAAGCAGGACGAGGCTTCGTAATTTTGGGACCCAACTGCTAATTAGTCTATGGAAGTCATGGTTCGATTGAGGTTCATTAGAGAATCAAAATGAATGGAGGATGATAGCTGAAGGCTTAAGTTTTTGTAGTATTACATTGGGCCTAAGTTAGGCCAAGGTAAATCCGACTAGACAAATCGATAACCACAGCAACCAAACCTAACCTCACTCGCCCTGTGAAAATCAATTCAGTTTGCCTTTATTTCCAAGTTCAAGCCTCGACTTATCATCAGTTTCAGCTGCAGTACTATCACCGTTAAAAGGGGTCAGTGGTCTTGGACACTGGTATTTCGAAGTCGTGACGAATGGACGTAATAGTAATTTGTGGTTCGGCCTTAGATCAAACGTTTTTACATTACACTAACAAAAGTTGCTGAGTAATTGCATAATTGCGGCGATTAAGATGAAAAAGTTACTCTCCAAAGAGAAAAAAAAAAAAAAAAAAAAGTTTTTTAAATTAACTTGAGGTTCTGAAATACAATATTTCGGATTTTTTTTTTTAATTTCTGGACCCCTCTACAAGTAGAGAAATTTTTTTAAAACATATAGATAACATTTTTATGCGCAGAACTGTGTAATTGTTCTTATTTAAAAACTTGTTACTTTCAGACTTTCTTCATTTCCTAACTCCTCACTTGTGTGCTCACAGTCTTGATTGCCTTGAGTTTATTCAAAAAATTTATATTTCTTTACACACTTAGAATATATCGTCTATCCAAGACTTAATATATTTTGCATATTCACATTTTTTGCTAAGAAACTAATGGTTTCTTTTAATCCTTTGTAAGCAAATATGTATTTATTAAATAACCGTTACCAACTCACCCATTCCGTAATGCAGGCAGGTAGGTAAGGCATCTTGATTTCCTCAAATACATACGTACACTTAGATGAAACTATTTACATTCTGCGGCAAATGTTCAGTAAAATATCTAAATATATCTTCAGAGACACTAAATTTGGTCACAGTGTCTGCCGAACTGCACAAATATATGTAAGTATATTGCATTTAGGCAAACCTTACTGACCATGCAAGGGAAAAGTGCCATTTATTTGCTTGAATTTCCTTTAAATGTTCAAAAATTGTACATTAATGTATCTGCATAAATCAGTGGCTGGCAGCTTCAACATTTATTTCATTATTTTTTTTTGTGTCATTTGCTACTTGCAACACTGTATATGCCGTAGGTACATATATAGTAGGTATATAATCTGTATGTATAAAGAGAAATTGAATATGTACTTGCTTGGCAAACAAATTATGGAGAAAATACCAAAAAACAAACGAAAAAGAAGAGTTGTCTTCGGTCATGCCGAATTTTATAACCTACATGGCCAGGTCAAATTAATGGTTTGGATTTCAGGATTAAATACTTATTGCCGCGTGGGAAAAATCATTTTTGTGGGGGGTTTGTTATTAAGTCCTCCGATTTCGATGATTTCGGTCTCAATGGTTTTATTTCTTTTTCTTTTGATATAAAAGTTGATTTTGAAGAGATGTGGTGTTCAAGAAGAAATAATCCAAATATAATTTAATGTTTTGATCAAAAATATAGATGTATTTTAGAGATAAATGCTCACTGTTATTATTTAAAAATAATTTTGGCGCAAATAACTTCCAGCCGAGAGGCTCAAATTTTGTTCCACATTTTCCACAAATCAGAGCCGTATGTTAGCAATAACTCGCCAGTTCACCTTCCAGACCTCAATCATCTCGGACTTATCTGCATAGACCAGCGACCAGAAAATAATCAAGCCTTGCTAAATCGCACGATAGTTGACGCCACATCACGTGCCTAGGGCGCGAGATAATACCAAAAATTTCATTCAATAAATTGTACTCATTCGAAACAAATTTCGTGCGAGGCTTGATAGCGTGCCCTATTGATTTTGACATTATGACTGGCCTTATTTTTGAAGAAAAAGAAACCATGCATCCCTCTCTCCATCAAGCACAAGCAGCAGACAACTTTTTGTGGTTGTAAGGAGGTTTCAACAATGGCTTGGGTAGTATCAACACACATAATATGGCAGTTCTTGTTATTTACTAAACCGAAAATTAGCTTTATGGTTGAATAAACTTTCACAGTGAGGCGTCGCGTGGACCGAATCATTTTTTGGTAATTAATTTTCAAGTTTTGCGAACGTCGCTCTGGAGTAAGTAAGTCTGTTTATTATGAAATGGCAAACCATGTTTATTATGAAGTGGCAAAACAAATGTCGAGCCAACCCCAAGAAAAAATATAGACTCATTGGAAATCACAAGTCTCAAAAAAAAATGTTCTGCGGATATCAAGTTTTACGCTTTTGGATGCGTTGTTGAAGAATTCTTAACCCAAGACTACATAACTAAACAAATCTGTTGTATAAAACAGTATTATATAGCCTGTCGTTTCATTATATGTGTGTAATGGATCAAATTTCACGTTCTTAGATGGTTTATTGAAGTATTCATTGCTCGGATCACACATCTGAACAAGTCAGTTCCATGAGAGCTCTATGTTGTAGTTACCCAACAAATGATCCTTTCCATGTACCAAGTTTGAAGAACCTCAAAAAGCGAGGGACTAGTTTGTCTACAAACAGACGAACAGGTAAGTTAACTCAGTACGTCATTTTGATCATCTCGGCATAAATTCTGGTGGCTCTAGCTCTTCGCCTTCATTACATAATTCGAACCCAAGTTAATATTCATGAAAGGTATAAAAATGAAGACGAAAAAATGAGTCGCAAGACGAACAATAAAACTTCCAACACCATTATCCAAAGCGCACCAAAGGAGCTACAGCGTTTGGCAAAGGAAATCGCCTGAATGGCCAGTGGTCAGCGGTAGCCAAGGCAGCAGACAAGAATGAATGAATGAATGAAAGACTCCAAAGACGGCGTTACTGATGTTGGCTCTTGGCCAACGCCAAGCAAAAGTTATACAGTAATACATATACATATGCATATATATATTTGTATACCAATGTAGAATAGAAATAAAATTTCTATTCTTACTTAAAAAGATATATTCAAAAAAATTCAAATAAAGCAAATAAAAAGTGGGAAAGACGAAGACCAAGCTGAAAGTGGCCAATGCATTTGAAGGCAGTGAATTTTGTTTTTGCAAATCTTCACAAGCAAGAAATGCTGCAACTCACTTTACTTTCTATATGTACAACCAACTAACTATAAGCGTTTGTGTGTATATGTGTAAAAAATTTTGTACGCTTTGTGGTTTACATGTGTTCTAACACGCACACACTTACCTACCTACAAACACATTCATATTTCAATTGATGCATGAGCGTTGCCCAGCTGCCTCTGCTTGGTTGCCTACAATGGGCTCAGGAAGTGCCTGCCGTTAAGGAAGTCACTTGTATGGCCGGCCATTGAGTGCATGACTGCCTTAGAGATACTTGTAAAATATTGCATGCATGTGTGTGTGTATGTGTGTGTAGTGGAATACGAGAAATGCATGCATATCTGCTATTGGAAATGAATTGTGCGTTTGTGAATATGCAATAAAATGTTGCAACTGCCAGCAATAAGACGAGTGAATTTATTGCAAATAAATATTTGGAATTTTTGCCAGGCAATAAAGAGAATATTGAAAGCAATTTTGAAGTTTTCCAATTTTGGGCAAATTTAAAGGATAAGACGATGTGTAACATGAATTTTGAGAGCAAACAGAATATTTTCGGTATTAAGAAATGCATTTGGACATACCAAACAGCCAAGAAATCATCCAAGAAGAGAGGCTTAAATAAATAAATTTTTCGTAATCGAAAAAAAAACACTTCGTGTGCGAGCTCATCGTGGTGTAGATCGACGAAGTCGATATCTGATGAGACGGCGCTGAATGAAAAGTTTTGCGAACGATTT